ATCCCAGGGTCCTGGGATCATGACCTAAACTGAAGGCAGCCCTTAACTGACTGAGCCACCCAGGCACCCCAGAAGTACTACATTTAAATAAAATGGAAAAAAATGTCAAGAAACACAACAGGAATTTTGGGAAATCCGTTCAATTCGGCTTCCTCTTAGCAAAAGTGGGATAAAGAAAAAAGAGGGGGAGAAGCAGGTAGAGGAGATGGAGAGAGAGGAGGAGAGGAAGAAGGAGGAGAAGAGGATTTCCTCAAATAACCTCTAATAACCTTAGGGATCAACGGGGAGGAAAGAGTAAGAGAGGGTGCTAATGAGGAGAGAAAGAAATAGGATCAGTGGTAAATACAAAACAAACAAGAAAGTGAGTAAATTGGATTGTTAAATATCTATTCAGTGCTTTCAGTTAGTTAAAGCAAAAGTAGGATAATCCATTAGAAAGGCTTTTGTTTCAACAGTATCAAATGTCTTAGGAGTTAGGAAGCAAAATCATGGCTAAGGACATTATTGAAAAAATATATTAGTAACACTTAAAAAGTTATAGCACACATAAATTCTTAAATCCTGCCCACTCAGAAGTATTAATAATTTAACTTAATATGTAGCTGCTAATCCAGACAAATGGTTTTAGCATATTTATTTAAATAATGAAAGACTTCATTAATTATGAAGACTGATAGTGGGATAAAAAGGCATTCAAATTGGTCCCTTTCTATAATATGCTCTTATAGAACGTGTTAAAATCCTCTAAATTTAAGCAAAGATGAGATTAGCAATCTATTAGAACACCAAAAACTAAGGACTACAATATTGCTAAATATTTATTTGTACTCAATATTATACATCCTGTAAGGTTTTACCTTTTTTTTTTTAATTTGATGATCATACCCAACAGATTGCTTGATTGTTCTATGTCCAATTTTCTTATGAAAATTCTAAATAATAAATTTTTACAAAAGTAGAGTAATAACCAGGTAAGAAACTTTTTATTAAAGACTTACTATAATAGGTAAAGAGGCTAATCAATAAATTTAATTTCTAGTAGCAGGACAACTGTGTTAGAGCAAACCAATTTAATCATTTGTAGAGATAAATATATTTAAAAATACATTTTCTAAGTTAATTCAGTCAAAATTGCTGTACTATGGACTAAGATGGGTCAAATATTTTAAGTGCGAAACAAAAATACAAGTAATTACAAAACCATACTTGCTTTTATGTATACTTTAATAGTTCAACAGTGCCGTGGGAGATCAGAAGTGGGAGAGAGAAAAATAATGATGGGAAGATCTAGAAATCCCTGTGGATTGGCAAGAATAATGCAGTGCCTTCCACAGACATCACAGGGAAAGAAAATTTGAAAAGAAGGTGAAAAACAAGAGCTAAGGCCCAGGAGTAGGCATCTCTTATTTCTGAAGATTCTTTCCTGTATCCATCTGAAATCAGATGCTCTGTGATTTCCATCCCTCTGATATTTCTCCTGCCTCTGGGGTCACACACACTAGGCCTATTCATTCTTTCAAAAGAAGGCTTTTAATTACGGCTGATTGTGTCTGAGTCTTCTGTAAGTAAAGATCTTTTGTTCCTTCTTAAATGACAATTTTTAAGTGTTTCTTAACTGTCAAAATTGAAATGCTTTATTATCTCCATTGTTTTCTCCTAAATCAGTTTCAGATTGATCACACTATTTCAAACGTGTTGTCAAATGTCTTTTCAGTGGGGACAAAGCAAAACTGGATTACAAGCTCTCCCTCTCCCAAGCACAAATGAAATAAACAATAATCCAAAATAACAAATATATTGCAATCAAAGAAAAAAATAGAAAATTCTGGGGCTTTTGTACATGGCTCTGAAATCCCAAGGAGTATTAAAGGAAAAGGTGAATTGAAATCCTTAATGTCTCACTAATAGTATCAATGTGGAGAGAAATGTACTATAAGGTGAGTAGGAAGCAGGGGAAAGCCTTATGAGTAGAAAGCAATATGTTTTTCCATGTTTTTAGAAGCTCATCAGAGGCAGAATATGTTGTTAAGGATTACCATTGTGCAGGGGTTAATCCCAAAATAGAGGACCAATATAAAGCCTTAAACCATTGTCTCTTAAAAATACAGCATACCTTGCACTAGATGGTGTAGATCCTATAAAGACTGGAGAGGGCCATTAACAAAATATTAAATGAGTCAGCACTGAAGTCCAGTGAGGAAGGATACTCTAGTTCCAGCTCTCACACACACTTCATTTTTCAGAAAGGTGAATAAAATGTAATCCCCACTTTTTAAGCAGATGATAAGTCTTAGATAAAGTTAAGCCTGCTCAAAAGAATTCAATCACTTAACGTCAAAACCTTGAGAATGTCTAGATACAGCCACATCAAACATGAGCAAGCTGAGGAAAAAAAGGCAAAAACAACCATAAAGGGAAGAATAAGAAAACAGAGAGAGAAGGATGAGAGCAAAGCATGCAGAAATGAAGAACGTGCTACAGAAGAAGGCATTATCCAAGGGAAAGAAAATCTTCCAAGAGTGATTTGAGCCATAGAAAAATAGAATATGGATTGGAATGCAATAAAACATAAACTTAAGGAGAAGATAAAGCAGCTATATAAACAGCTATAAAGAAACAAATTGAAAAAAAAAAACCACATTATTTCAGAACTAACCAATAGCTTAGAATCAGCAAGGAACAGAATGGACACGGCTGAAAAATCTATTAGTTGCATAGAGGAAAGAATTGAATATCATGGTAATAGCCACCTAAGAATATCAGGTCTCAGTCCCTGAAACCTGCGAATACTACCTGATAAGGAAAAAAGGTCTTTTCAGATGTGATTAAGTGAAGGATCTTGACATGGAGAGATGATCCCAGATTACCCAGGGGGGCCTGAAATCTAACCATAAATGTCTTAGAAGAGAGAGGCGAAAGGAGACGTGCCCCACGTGGTAGGGGCGGAGGCAATGTGACCGTAGAGGCAGAGGCTGGAGTGATGGTGCTACATCTAGAGGAAAGGAGGCCAGCAGCCACCAGAAGCTGGAAGAAGGGGAACAGAATCTTCTAGAACCTCCAGAGAGCACAGCCCAGCTGACACCTTGGTTTCAGCTCAGTGAGACTGATATCGGACTTCTGGCCTCCAGAACTCAGAGAATAAATTCCTGGTGTTTATAGCCACTAAGTCTGGGGTGCTTTATAACAGCCGCCTCAGGAAACGATGGAGGGAGATGACTGCTCCATTTTTGCCTTCCAAGCCTTGCAAAAGTTCCTTTTCTGTCCAGCTCTAACCTAAAATCATGTAAGAAAGCAGATTGTAGGAAAAGTAATTCCAGCTTAACCAAGTTGATGTGGTCGGTAAGCCAACACGTGAGTAGCCTGAGGTTTCCAAACAAGAACCTCAGAGGTTTGGAACAATTGCTCTGTAATCAGAAACCATTCAAACTAAACAAATCTGTATTTGCTTGTAAAATGAGCTACTCTCTTTTTATCTTGTTCTTTAATGATGCTTATTATTTTCATGACCAAGATTACATGTCCATTCAAGTTTAACCAGTTAGATCCTGATGTCCATTTCAGGCTTATACCGGAATGAGGTCACGAATTTATTCTTACAAACACATATTGGGGAAAATGAAGTTACTTCTTAAAATTGTTTAATGTCGGGTGCCTGGGTGGCTCAGTTGGTTGAGCGACTGCCTTCGGCTCAGGTCATGATCCCAGACTTCCAGGTTCGAGTCCCGCATTGGGCTCCCAGCTCCTTGGGGAGTCTGCTTCTCCCTCTGACCTTCTCCTCTCTCATGCTCTCTCTCACTCATTCTCTCTCAAATAAATAAAATCTTTTAAAAAAATTGTTTAATGTCTAATTCCAGACAAAAATTTGAGAAGATACAAGTAACAAGGACTGCTAGTGTTTAGGTAGTTACCTATCTTCCCATCTACTTCCAGAGTGAAGGACTACATAGGATCACAGTAAAACTGTGCTATGTGTGGGATACAGCTGACACTCACCACCCACTATTTTTTCTGATCATTACTATCTTTCATTTATTTATACTTAAAAAAAAAAAAAACAGAATCAAAGAGCAGCATTTTCCGATGTGCAAGACTGGTACTCCTGAATGATTTCAAGTTTCCTGCAGCATTATAAAAAAAATTAATCACATATAGATAAAGATCTTCCCTTTCCAAATATCTTTCCATTGATTATACCAAAGAGGAAGTCTCAACCTCTTGGTAGTATCTTAAACATACTTTAAACAAACCGATCACTTGGGGCACCTGGCTCAGTCTGTTAATTGTCTGCCTTCTGCTCAGGTCACCATCCCAGAGACCTGGGACTGAAGCCCACATCAGGCTCCCTGCTCAGCAGAGAGCCCGATTCTCCCCCTCCCTCTGCCATTCCCCCTGCTTGTGCACTCTTTCTCTCTCTGTCAAATAAAAAAATAATAATTTAAAAAAATGAAATAAACTGATCTCTTTAAGTAAATAGAGATCAGACCTCAGGCCATGGGTCTTTGGTAGGCAGTAGGATTTGCTATAATTTGTTTATTGTTTTCAATGCACTTACTTTTATAAATGTCTTCTGCTTACTCCAAATCATATCAATTTCTACTCATACTAGTTATAGAAAGCCAAGTTAAGGAATATGATCAATAAGTAATATTAAAAATGGATGTGGATATGGCAAGTATTACAAAGTTAGTACAAAAATAAAAGGGCTTAGGGAAACTGTGTGGGGAAATCATGCAGCAGCGTACATGCACCCAAACTGGTTGTCACTGCTGTTAAGTAACACGCAGAAACAGGCAGTATCATGAGAGGTTATTTGCTGTCTACCGAAGCTATTATATTTATACTGTGAATTGTTCTTCACAAGGGATATTCCACTGTAAAGAACAGTTACATGTGTAAAACCAGACTCAATTAGTTATGATGCAGGTTTAACTGCTATTACTGGTAACCGAGTTAAAAATGGCTCAGATAAAATAGAATTGTATTTCTTTCTCCTGTAATAGGTATATTACAAGTGGCCCGGATGTTCCCATTTCTCTTGTTGCTTCTCTTGCCCTGCTGGAGCAGCTTGGCACATGTTCTATGCTTCATCGTAACGGGATGAAGGAAGAGGCCAAAGGGAAAGCTCCGCCCCTTTTAGGCTATATCCTGGTAAGGGCTAAAACACATGGCCACTTTTCAATATAAAGGAGGTTGGTTGGTTGGTCAATATGGTCCACTGAAAACCCATTACTATAGAAAAAGAGAATGGATATTAATGGGCAGAGAGCAGTCTGTTTAAAGGTCCAAAGGATTTCTTAATACAGAAAAGATGAAATCATATTTAGTATTATTTTATCTTTATAGTGTTTTATTGTATCTTATGGTTCTAATCCATACTAAGTTAAATACAAACCTCTTGGCCTAAAGTTCAAGTACCTTCACAATTTTCTACAACAAAAAAATATATTAAATTGCAAAGACAGTTTGAAATGGCAACATATTAGAGTTGCTTCTTTAAAAAAAAAAAATACAATGTGACTGAATTTATCTGGGCAAATCTGAAAATTAAGCAAGATGGGAATTTGAGCATTTAAGAGCTTGTGTGTATGGTTTATTTCTTGATGATATCAACTGACATTAAAGCCTAGAAAGGTATTTATATATTTTTAGCTCTGCTAATAACCGGCAGGTCACAGAAGGTAAACTTAAGACTCCCACAGAAGAGGCTGACACTGATAAATGGAAATGAGGTTAAACAGAATCATTATAAAAATTCCTCTGGTAAAACTTCAGAAAAACAGAAGTTAAAGCCAGATGCTTCTGTTCCACAGCTCATCCAATTTAAGTCTACACAAGCATCAAAAAAGCCCTATTCTAAGACTTCATAGCAAATGCCCAAGGTTTTGGGAATGGCAGGAAGAGTGGTTAGCACTTGCCGCTTCCCGGGCATTTTTGTATGAGGCCCCCCAAAATCATGTAACTTGAGTTATGGGAAGCCCATGAAATCTGTCCTAAATCTAAGGATCTTAAATCGTTTTCAGAATCAAGATAACACCTTTGGGGAAATACTTTTAAACTTTCATTATCAGGAGGGCACGTGATGTGATGAGCATTGGGTGTTACATACAAATGATGAATGGTTGAACAGTACATCTGAAACTAATGATGTCCTATGTGTTGGCTAATTGAATTAAAATAAATAAATAAATAAACTTTCAGTATCTTGGAAATGATTGCAACACATGGTAAGCAGAAAGTTTAGTGGGACACCCTGCCCACCCTCCCTGAGAGATACACAGATTCCATTCCAGTATAACAGTGATAATCGAGTGCAAACAATCATTAATATAATAGAGTAGTATTATCACTTATTACTCAAATGATATCAGAATATAAGAATTCACTCATATATCAGAGCAGAACATGTTCTCATTTAAGCCTATATGACCTAACACTACTTCTCTTTCAAATCTCAGAATATTTTTAGTATGAAAAGAATCGTGTCCATCTATTCTTAAAAATTAATGCTACACTGGACCTGAGGTAATTAGCCTGTTATTAGGTATAGCTCCAAACAAAACTGTAAAGTAGGCAAAACCTCTGTCTTCACTTCTAGCCTCGCTGTTTTGCAATTTCCTCTTTCTGCTGGTGTCTCTCCCTCATCTTTCTAGCACCTGGTCTCCTTGCATTCTCCTCTACCCTATCCCATGTCCTAGCTTCTGACTCGCTCCATGCTATTCTTACTCTCAGAGAAGGACCTTCTACATGATGGCAATAGTACATTACATTTCATATTCAACTTTGAAGAGAAAAGGACAGGGTGGCTGGATATTTTTGCCCTTTTCCACAAATAGCACCCTGTTTCCCATGAAAAAAGTCATGCCCCGCTCACTTTTGGTCATGTCATTTGGATTGGATAAACCATTCCCAGCTCTAAGGGTGAGCCATGAGATTGCCTTTTGTCATCTGTAGTCAAGTGCCTCTAGAAGTCTAGGTTTTTAATAGAAATAAAGAGTATAGAGACTGTGGAGTTGGTTGGTTACTTCTAAAAACTTGGGAAAATAAAATGATGAGTTTAGAGCTTCAAATTCCCAGGTCAACGTCTAGGGAATACTTAGAAAGCTTCCTCACATCCTATAGCTAAATGGTTGAGATTTCTGAAAATAAACCCAAAGTCCAATCCTGCGGGTGGCTAATTATAATGTACACAGAATTCACAGTCACAGACTCTTTTTATGTTAAAGTTATAGAACTGATTAGAAAAGAATGGAAACTATGAAAACTGAGTAAGTTCCAGAACTTGAACTTCCAAATTCTGCTGTGTCTCCTTTGCCGGGAGAAGTAGCCTATTTTCACTGTAGAAGGAGGTTAGACTCTTCTTGACTATAGAACTTGTAATGACTTTCCCAAGAGAATTGCCAATGCAAGAAATCTTAATTTTCTTCTTACTACTACTCCTGATCTATAACTATATTAAAATCCAGGACACTTGAGAATAAAGTATGACCTGAGAAGAAGTACCATACACAATATTGCAATATTTTGCCAATATACACAAACTAAAACCTGAGGAATATTTATTATAATGGCTTCTAAGAGTTTGGAATCAGGTAGAAGGAATGAAATATTGGCCAAAGCCAAACTTAATGATGTATGGGGATTAATGAGAAATTTTGAATTTAATGTGTTACCTAAAGTAGCTTGAATTGGCACTATGGGCTCAATGACTGAAATTTGGAGTTAAATGTGGTTTATGCTGACTGAAGTTGAAAAACCAAAATTACCCTGGTATTCTGCAGAGAAATGTATCAAATATTTAACGGTTATTGGAAGCCTATGACTTTATAGCACGTGACTTCCTCACCCACGAATTAAACTATGTCCCCAAGGAAGGTTTGATGGACACTTCCTTTATAAAGGCTTTGAGAAGTAAACTAGTGAAGGGATCACCAGTATCCTTGAAGACCTCTGTAATAGCTGTTGTCTCAAGGCCAGGAATAACAGTGGGCAATGCTGCTATTAAAATAATTATCTCTCAGAGTGACAAGGTGGCTCAGTGGGTTAAGCATCTGATTCATTGTTTTGACTCAGGTCATGATCTCAGTGTTGGGAGATTAAGCACCACATTGGGCTTCATGCTCGACAAGGAGTTTGCTTGAAATTCTTTCCCCATCCTTCTCCCTCCCCCTCTGCTCCTCCTCCTGCTCATGCTCTTTCTCTCTCAAATAAATAAAATAAAACAAAACAAAATAAAATAAGTTCCCTGAATTCCATGTGGGAGAGTGCAATTGCAGTGTACTATGAACCAAGTTCCAGGTTGTAACTGTCAGTCAAAGAAGGTATAATTACCGTAACAGGAAGCAGACTAATTTGACCAGGGGTGATCTTGGGCAATGGCTAATTGATTGTGGTGATTCTAGGTCTGAAATATATGAGCAGCCTATAAAAGCTGTGCTTTATTTGAATAATCAGAACAGTTCTAATAACTGAATAATGGTGAACAGAAATCTAACTTAAATCATCTCAATAGAGTCCTGGTCCTTCAACCAATTCCCAGGTTTAACCCAATTTACAGATAGAAAGCCCCTTGAATGACGGTAGGGCTGGGATTCCTTGAGGAGGGACCCTCATCCATTACCAAGAAATTATCTTATAAAACTTCTTAGCCTTCTCCAGAGATTATGGACATTTACCAATGTGACTGCATTGAGGAAAAGGAAACACCCAGATTGGAAGGAATTATTGAGCCCTGGGTATAAACTAAAGCTAATTTAGAGGACAAAAAACCATACCAGTCAGGGCAAGAGGCTTATGGAAGTCAGGTGACTAAAGGTTTTGGTTCATGCCTGCCCCATACGACTCCAGTAGGACTTCTATCCACTGTAGTAATTTTTCCAATCCCGGAAAACAGAATTGAAATAGACATACCTAACAATTGCCAGAATCCCCATAGTAGTAGTTCCCTGACCTGTAGAGTAAGGCAGGAATTATAGTAGGAAAAGCCAAGTGGAAGCCCCTAGAACTGCACTGAATTATCATAAATTTAATGAGATGGTGACTCCTATTGCAGTGCTAGTCTAGATGTGTTTCTTGACTAGAATAAATCAACATAGTCCCTGGTTCCTGGTGTACAGCTATTAAACTGGTGAATATCTTTTCCTCTGTACTTGGGAGAAACAACCGAGAGTAGTTTGCTTTCAACCTACTGCCTCTGTGTCATATTTAGTCTTCAGGCATTTCGATAACCTATCCATCCCATAGGATACGATGCTGGTCTAATACAGTGGTATTACACTGATTGGACCTTCCTGGTAAGCAAAAATAGAAACCCTAGTAAGTCACATATAGGTTAGGGGGTAGGGAATAACCTCCATGAAAATTCAAGAGTCTGACACCCTAGTGAAATTCCTAGGAGTACGGTAGTTTGGGGCATGTTGAAAAAGCCCTTCCAGAGTTTAAAAGTCCTGCCCAGCTACTAAAAAAGAGGCCTGATAGTCTCTTTGTAGTTAAGGTCATCAAATACTTTGAGTGTATTGCTACAAACCATTTACTGAAACACCTGAAAGGCTGCAAATTTTAAATGGGCCCAAAACAAAATACAGCTCTACCACTGTTCCAGGATGCTGTACAAGTTATTCTGCCATCTGAGTCCTATGACCCAGTAGATCCAGTAATGTCTGAAATGTCTGGGCAGATAGGGATGCTGTATGGAGTCTTGGCCAGACCCTATTGGGAAATACATCACAGAAATATATTTTAGGGTGAAGCTATGCTATCATCTGCAGAGGACTATTCCCCTTTGGAAAAATAGTTTATGACTTGCCAATAAGGGTAAATAGAGACCAACTGCTTGACCACTGGCCCTTGAGTTAATACGTTTTCTGAGATGCCCATGATGAACTGGGAGTTGTCTGCTGCCCACATCATAGTAAGAGTAACACTCCCTCATCAGGAAAAAATAGTATAAATGAGATCAGAGTCAGACAGGTTTTGAAGCACAAGTAACAACAGCAAATGGCTCAGATTCCCTAAAAAGTAGTTCATTAAAAGTCTACTACCTTCTCCACTATGTCAAGAATTCCTTGAAAACAGAGAATATGGTGTGTTAATCTCTTTATCTGTGATGACTGGAAAAATTCCCAGCAAATTTCAACACATTTTCATTGACT